CTGCGGATAATAGTCTAGCGGTAATGCCTTTTTGGAAGGTTTTACGTTAAAATTAGCAGGCTAATACTTTATGTCAACGAAACGAAACGAAAGTTTTTTATATCGCCTTTCTAGTGAAGATCACTAGAAGGTCATAGATATGAGGAATATTATTTCAACAGCTATGTATTGAAATGGCAATTATCCAACCTTTGACGTTCAATTGGCCTTTACTATTGATGATCAAATCGAATTTGTACGACTTCTCGAATATAATTGACTAAACTTGTAGGCAAAAATGTCAATCTTCTCTTTGGAGATATAGTTGTAGAGTAGCAATATAGGCTGGGAAAATACATTCAAATCTAGATAAACGAGTCCATTATACGTAAGAATTAAGCTCCATGCCATGTGTTATGCAAGTGGGTGCCTTTTTTACGAGCAAATGAGTACTTACGAAAACCGAGTTACCATTTGTAGAACGAACAAATAATCTGTTAAACAGATAGCAATCAACAATCTGTCACATATTGTATCTGGTCTGGTCTGGTCTGCTGAAGACTTCAGGGGCGACCGCAGCATTCCAAAGTATTTCGCCCTGAAGCTAACCATGCCGGCGCATTGTAGTAGGATATGTGCGGCCGCGTCCTCCTCTTTCATACACACAATGTATAAAAGGCTATCCGTGATACCTAAATTGAAATGTTGTGTATTATACGAGTAATATCTGTCATATAATAACTTGCTTTATTCTCACAATGCTGCACGTTCCCATATATGCTCATCATGATAAAGATGTATTAGGATATAGAAAATGCCGAACGTGCGCGCTCTACACAAACGGGGCGCCAAAATAATTGTATACATGTGTATTTAATTTTTAAAGATTTTTTATATTTAGAATAAGTCGCCATATTGTTTCCGCCTTACAAAAGGCACAGTCATATTATCTTTTCGTAAGAGCGGTGGGAATAAACAACGTTATAGCGAATTAATAAAAATATGTACACCTACTCGGAGTACATACAATAAAAGTTAGAGGAGTAGAAAGAGGAGGATTATCGTGAGACTGCTTGGGAACCGTTTACAAGCAATTATATCAATATGTATAGCTCAACGCGCAATTGTTTAATTTCAAATACACTACTGTCTAACTTTACGTCCCTATCTCTTATATACTTAAGCACGTAAAGTAAGGAATATGTCATGCATTTACTCGTGATTACAGAAGAAATGAACAAAAATACCGATATATTAAAAATAGACCTGACCACACGCAACGACTTTCGGAAGTCAAATTTGATAAAAACACCATTCGTTTATTGATGACAAAACCTTTTTTCTCATAACGATTAAACATGGCTATTTAAAACTAAAGGCTATCTTGAATGAAGGAAACAACATCACTTGTTAATTAGTACCGGAAAAGTTAATTCCTAATTACTTTGACTACTGACTCATTCGATGTGGTGGATTCTTTGAATTGTTCAACTGACTTCGGCATTGTTTTGTTTAGTTAGTTAATGATTAACTGTTGGGTAATTTGACTAATTTGTAACGGCTCATACTTTCACTTTTTTTATAAATGTTTATTGTTTTTTTTTTTGCTAATTTAAGGAAAATAATGAAAATTAAAAAAACTAAATACACGCTTTTAGTAGCAGTAGAGAGTTCATCCAAAGAGGTACCTGCCATCTTACCTATTTCTGTCGCCAAACAGTAATGTAAGCATTACTACCTTTCGGTTGGGAAGGATAAGGGTGCTGGTGAAATTACAGGCACATGGGACTTGTCAACTTATGTCATGTTATGAGAAGCATGGTGGTAGTGCCCCTTTAAAACAAAACAAATTGTAATCAAAACATTTAGAAGGAAAACATAAATAAGTAATTAAATCTTGCATGTATGTTACTTATTAATAATAAAAATCTGTGATAGTCTATCCTATGTGCGAATCATGTGTAGTTAAATTTACTCATAGCCACTTGTTTAATAGTGAAGGAGAACATGGACATGATGAAATCTGTTGAAAAGGATTCGCTTTCAATAATAATAATAATAATAATAATAATAACGCACACACTCAACATAGCCTTGCACTAGGGAAACCCTGTGTCGCGGGTACCATGGATACACACATAAACAACCAAATATTTCTCCCGGCCCGGGGATCGAACCAAGGACCTCTGCGTGGCAGTCCGGCATGATAACCGTTCGGCCACGGAGGCAGTTAATCCATCGGAAACATGTAAAGAAATGTAACAAATATTTTTTAAGCTGTATTTATCGACTGTGGTAGCAGAGATTAGCATCGCTTTAATAACATTTAAAATATATTATAACGTTAAATAAAATAATAAAAAATTATGTGTATCATAAAAGCTTTAACGAGTTATACTTCTAAACACAACACTAGGTATCAAATTCATAGCTGTTAAATTAAACGAAATGATCGCTATATCACGGTTACTTGGTCATTTTATTACCAAAACAGTTCAAATTTATATCACTGGCCCAGTTTCGAGGGTCTATAAAACATTGGTGAAGGGATAATTTAGTTATAAAGATTCAATTTACAGAAGAATCATGTATTTATGATTTTGGTACAGCTCTGCCGTCGTAGAATATAAACATGGAAATTTTTATTGCACAAAAAACAAAATATTAAAAAAACGAGTTACAAAAGGCATATACAACGATGAGCTTGTCTCTAGAAGAGATCTCTTCCAGGCAACCCTAGCTGTGATGAAGAAAGAAAATCTACGAGAATAATTATTGTACAATAAGGAAATGAAACTATTTTTCCGGATTTAAATCGCGTAAATTTGTTTTTTCAAACAAACCGAACGTTTCGGGTCCTTTATAGGTCCCATGGTCACGATTGACTGAGGTGGTACAGTCTTCAACCAGTTATGTCTAATATTGATGCAAACCACCCTATTTTTTCACTATAGTTACAATAGTTATTAATTAAATACCTCATTTTTAATTTTACAAAGAAAAACATTCCAATTTACGCTATATTAAGTTTTACCAACTATTTTATTGAATGAATTTTTATTAAGTTCAATTTATTATTAATTATTAATAGAAATTAGAATAAACTAAAACATATTAATTAGTACTGTAGTTATTTTTTGTTAATTTTTTACTGCAATTATGTTTGTTTGGGATTTTTCATTAGAGGAAATACTGGATCCCAAACTGGTGGTACGGAGAAACCATCTTCCCTGTTGAAATTAGGATGTTTTTTAATTTCAATGGCCTCTCGCAGCATCCTGGGTAGATAACGGACTTCTTTTGCAAGGACCTGGGGTTTGTCAAACTTCATTGAATGTGTAGGTTTATCCATGACATGCTCGCAGACTGCAGACTTGTTTACGCGACGGTGTTTGACATCAGCTATATGTTCTTTGACGCGGGTACAAATACTTCGCTTTGTTTGTCCAATATAAGAGAGACCGCACTCACAGTCAAGCTTGTAAACTCCTGCATCCTGTAAGGGGATGTTACATTTCACGGGTCTCAGGAACTGAGAAATCATCTTCAGGGGCTTCAAATAGGTCTTGTTAGATGCGCGCCTGAGGACTCTTCCGATCTTGTCTGTAACACCTCTCACGTAAGGTAAGATGGCAGGTCTTCGCTCGACTGTTGGTGGTTTCACACGGGACCTGTGGCATTGGCGTGGAATCTTCAACTTATTCGCATGTAGGATTTGCTTTATATGTTGAAGCTCCCCTGCCAGATGATTACTGTCGCAGACACCATGTGCTCTCTGAAACAAAGATTTGCCCACGGTAGCTAACTGGCTAGGATGGTGATGAGAATTACCATTGAGATACCTATCTGTATGGGTTTTCTTTCGAAATACAGTATGGCCTAAGGTGTTATTAGGATTTCTTTTAATTAAAACATCTAAGAAAACTAAAGTACCACAATTCTTTTGTTCCATAGTAAATTGGATCTTAGTACTATAGTGAAAAAATAGGGTGGTTTGCATCAATATTAGACATAACTGGTTGAAGACTGTACCACCTCAGTCAACCGTGACCATGGGACCTGTAAAGGGCCCGAAATGTCGGTTTATTTGAAAAAACAATTATACGCGATTTAAATCCGGAAAAATAGTTTCATTTCCTATGTGTAACAATCGCGAAAACCTAAGAACTCGATATTGTACAATAAATTTATATTATTTATTGGGACCATTTTCCAAGGGTTTCATTGGTACATGCCGCCTCAGGGATTCAAACCGTTGACCTCTCAAAACCTACTGTTCTCCTACTCGCTTACATATTACAACTATTACATATATAACTGTTTATAACAGTTAAAGCTTTACTAAATGAAACTATTATTATATTTATTATATTTTATATATATATTTTATATATATATATATTTACTAAATGAAATATATATATATAAACGCGCGTAAGGGGCCCGAAATGTCGATTTGTCTGAATAAACAAATATACGCGATTTAAATCCGGAAAAAGAGTTTCATTTTCTATGTGTAACAATCGCGAAAACCTAAGAACTCTATAGTTAAAGCTTTATTTAAAGTACAGCTTAAGCTTTATAAGCTTATAACACACAAGTATACGTCACAATATATTCAAATTGGGACGTTCGTAATACCTACTGTATAAAATTAGAAAAAACTACCTTAGCAGCACTATTTTAGTCCAGTCCCATTCGGAGTTGGATTTCCCCGATTTAAATACCCAAAAGAACACTTGCGAGTATCATCACGATTCGTGCCTTTCAAATAGTTTGCCATTTGCAGCAAGGATGGACATACCACGGAAAATCCGGCCGAACACAATTATGCCTTATTTGAAAATGACATCGATTATTCTTTAGTTATGTACGCTAAGTATCCTGTAACCTAGTTAAAAAGACATTGATAAAATATCCACCATTATTACAAACTATCAATTTGTTTCAGATTCCCGCGTGTGAAGGGTGTCAGTGAAACAGAATCAGTGCAGTGGTGTACCGACAATGAGAAGACGGCCGCGCTAGACGATCCCACGCTGGGATTATGCAACCGTGGCCGTAATAGTGCCTCTCGTATTGACATAGTGAGCTAACATTTCGCGCCAATGACTAAGTAAACTATGGCGTTAGCGAACTTTACCCTGGCGAACGCCGCAACGCCGAATCTCCCGCCAGTGTCCCCAGCCCCCGTTCATGTTCAGTTAGACGATCTTCTTTACTCGCCTGAACAACAACAGGAATTCGCTCAGCTGTCTGGAAATGAACCTTTTCAGTCTCCGAATCAACCGCAAAGAAGGTCAAAGCTCCGGAAGCGAGCAGGAGCCGCCTACTTGCCTCCACCGAATCAATACACCCAATATCCGCGACACGACGACGTCCCACATAACCCCTACAACGTACCTTTACATACACAAATTTATCAGCAACAACACCCAAGACTTGATGTTCAGATAGAGAATCAACGAGTGCAAGAAGTCAATCCACAATATGATAACACAGGACAATATGTGCACGATCCAACCGGTGATTACGATTACGAACAAAGAAGAACAGAGCAAACTGGTAGACGTCCACCATATAACCCAGGATTCGCGGATCCCCCATATGGTCCTGCGACAACTCCGCAATCGTCTAGTCGAAGGTTCGATAGTAACTTGAACCATAATATTAATAATTTTAATTTTGGGCCTTCAACGACTCCTGCACCTTTACCGTCTAGACCTTATTCTGAGGCGGGAACGAAGATTGCAGGCAGCCCTGGTGGGGGTAGTAATCAGCAACCATCCGATCGTCCTCGGGGATTCACGAAAGTAGAAACAGCCAGCTCTGGAGGGAAAACACAACTTCACGCTGTCCTTGATTACGATGATGACTACTACGACGATGTTCCTGGGCCAGGTAACTGCACTGTATACTATTTCAAGGTAGTCTCTATAAAGCCACAGTTAAATCCTGCATAAAATTATATTTGAGATAGATCGCTATCTATTAAATAATTTTATATTCACGTCCACTTGAAGCAGTGCCACGATCGGTCCACTTACTTCCACTATCAGTAGACAGTACACACTTCTAGCCTTGGAGGACGGTACAAAACGTACGAGGAGAGCGTTTTATTCTATATAAAATTAGACCTTTTTATCCCTGCTATCAAACAATGTATTCATATAAGTTATTATATCAAGCTAGTAAATGTACGTAGTACAAAGTAGAGCAGCTTTTATCTTAAATCTTTAACAGAGGCCTTTGATTGCTTTAGTACCGGGCGCCAATGTCACCTCAAACAATGGCTACTTGTCCAGTCTACAGCAGACGTTGATACATGAGTGTGTTGTGTCCTAGAAATGAAGTTTTGACAATTCTAAGGTAGTTGAAAGGATGAATGTGCCCATTTTTTTGCGAAATCGTGAACCTAAGTGGCAATAAAGATTGAGATCGGATCCTAAACTACGTTACACACATGGTGTCACACCCTTTGAGGACCTTGACCTTGACCCGGCTCTTTAAATAAAAAACATGGCTTGGAGAATCAGAATAACTTACAAATGCAAAAGTAACGAAAGAAACCTTTTTCTGTCTTATCTTTTACTTCAAAAGAATCACATTTTTACCTAAAATACATCTGTTACAATTTTGACAATAATGTATACAACATGTCCGCTCAATAACCATCCATAACCGTCTAGAGGTGTTACCTCACTATCCAGTTTGAGACTTCACAAACAGCCATTAACATAAGTGTTAACGTGTTACTAGCAACGAAAATGTGTTCCCTTTTAAAAGCCTCGAGAGAAACGACCTTGGTTTCACTTTCGAACTTATATTATCACGACTCGCTTTCGAACTTATATTATCACGACTCGGGCGCAGCGCATCGCATTGAAAATTGGACCAGTTTAAGAACCACATAGCCCTTTTTTATCTAGGTATACAGGATTTTAGTACGAAAAATTGTACATGGATAAAGATTTTCTGATTTGAGACGCAGCTTTGAGCTGACCCTGACAAAAGTTTGATGTTACCTTTGATTTCCTAATCTTGTCTTGCAATCAACTGACGTCTTTCTTTCTTGGTTAAGTGACGCTTAAAACTTGATTTATTGCTTGGAGAATTTGTGTTAACTATTTATTGCCTGCAAAGTACATAACAGGTTGGATAGTTGGCAAAAACATTGTCATTTGGCGATTAATAATTTACTGGTTTATTAATGGTCTCATTAGCTACATTTAACTTTTAATCTCAAAAATTTTGTGCGGAGTTGACGTACAGAGCCATTTTTTATTTTTTGTACTTTACTTGTCTACGTTTTGTCTCCGAATCGTTGATATATTATTTTGCAACGTACAGGTTCATGTGACGTAATCGAAAATAGAATCTCGCAAGAGTAAGCTGAGAGAGGGGCAGTAGAGTCGAAACGGCGATTTTTTTGGCAGTATTAGGGTGATGACACATTGGAACTGATGATACGTGACTGGGTCGCATATCTATAAACAAAATCTTAGAAACTTCAACTCTTTTCAAATGCATTCAGATTTTTATGTTACGCTCTTACGCATAATCTCTTTGGTTACGTGTTAAAGTTATTAGTGTGACATCAACCTTGTTTAATTTGTTACAGGAGAGTGTGTTCAATTCATATTCAATAAAGTGATGTGTTACACAATGTTTTGCGATTTTGCGGGTGGGACGTGATGGGTTAAGACTTTCAGTGATGTGATGTAGGTTTGTTGAGATGGTGTGTCCTTGTGGTGAGTTTTCATATATGATGACGTTAACAGATCAAAAAACTTAGGTAAAGCATCTTACAATTTCTGTAACTTATGATCCTAATACTGAAACAAGTGCTATCGCTTGATTGAGTGTGCGGAATCGCCCTAAAATCATTTTGTATGATAATATTTATGTATGATAAAATAGGTTTGTGTCACTACATACGAGTACTACCTACTAATTTTCATGTGAAATATTTTCTCTAGTAACACAACAATGTCGCCTCTTTCTGACTCACTCTAAAGGCAGAACAAAAGAAGTGAAATATCATCAGATAATAATGATTATAATAATTATTTTAGTTCAGTAACAGTTCAACTTTACAAACCTTGAATGAAACTAGTGCGAAAATACCACAACCAAATTGAGTACGACAACAAATCATAATGATAAATTCGATGATTTTCGAACCAATTGTATGAGTCATATCACACGAAATTTACATTCGTTGTGTTCACTTAGTACGAAAACCGAGTGGCTTACATAAATATTCCTGACAGCCCTTTCAAATACCGACCTTACGGTGTCGGCGGCTGCAATGGACCAGTTCTTTGTGCACGACTTAAATTCATTATCTGCACGGCAATTTACATACTCCACTAGGAATTGTTAGGCTAAACTGTTTGATTCAAAACATTGTGCAGGAAACTATGGTTCTAGCTCCATAGGTGTGGTATTTTGATAGTTCGAATCGATATCGTATTGGCATTTATCGATAAGTGGAATGCAAAGGAGAATGCACAAGATTTTGTACATATTCATGTACAGCACACTTAAGTCGCCAATAAAATTGAAATTACATTATTCAGGGTTGTAGATAAGTTCTTAGGGTCTTGATTCACAGCACTGAAACCATCTTTTGGTATCGATTTTCAAATTAAAATAGTATTTTTTTTTAATTGAAATATTCGACACTAGAACTTGTCAATCTTTAATTGTTATCTAAAATCAAAATCAGATAATGTTGATTATCCAAAAATGATATGCTATGTTTTTTTTACATAATGTACTGTTAGCCACAAAAACAAAACAAAAAGTAAGCTTATAGTTTATAAAGCCGGAATTTCGGAACAGTAACCGGAACTAGAATTCACGTGTAGCTTTTTATATAAAGATGACCACACGGTGATGTATAATGTTACTGACGCTATAAACCGGTCAACCAGTCTCATCAAACCGTAGTTTATAAAAAAATTTCGTAATTATATCATTTAAGTAATATTATTAAAGTAGCCTTTTCTGATATAGTGGTACCGTTTGTGTGAACAAGTGTATGTTAATAATGTTTGAATGAATTTATTGTCACAGAGGATAATTTTGTTGTAAACAGGGATAAACTGCCTCTGTGGCCGAACGGTTACTATGCTGGACTGCCACGCAGAGGTCCCGGGTTCGATTCACGGGCTGGGAAAAATATTTGTATGGCCTACATTTTTTTAATAATATCAAGTAACGGGATTAACAAGTCGTGCGCTTGATGATAAGCTACACGCCTGTCCATAATAGTTGAAGTGCCACACAGAGCTTTAAATTACAAAGATCTGAGGGGCACTGCCATGCCACTACGCTCGTCACCTTGAGACATAAGTTGATAAGTCCTACGTACCCTTCAAAAGCAGAACGTAGTAATACTCACATTAATACTTCCCTGGACGAACTCTTTCACAAGGAGCTTTACTGCTGCTAAAATTCATTTCTCTTGTGAGTTTGAGTGTAATTTGTGTCTGTCTAAGTGTGTTTCCATGGCACCCGCGACACAGGGTTTCCCTAGTGCAGGGCTATGAAAAAAAAAATGGAAAACGTAACCAATAAATCTCCGCAATTTGTATAATACATTTTCAATTATGTAGGTTAGAATTAGTCTACTTTATCTCCTCTAATTGTAACTAGATAGGTTGGAGAGAACCAATTATTTTTTAGGAGTCTTCTTCTTGTCGTATCGATGGCATATCCTATAATGCTTGCCATCGTGGTAAAAGGATTTGCGTTAGGTATTCGCCGATTGTTGCCCAGGGCGCGTCAAACGAACATAAATTTAATAAGTAGTTAAAAGAAAATGACTGAGTATATGGTGAAAAAAACTTAAAAACAGCAGTCTACCAATCTACCACGTTGTCCCAATCAGTCTTCTTCTCATACTGGTTCTATCACGACATTATCTTTCACCATTAAACAAATAATATAATTTGGATAATTCCAATTTCTTTACGATGGCTCCATAGTTTTCCGCGATGATTCTGCCAATGAAAGAGTTGAAAAGACTTTTTTACGATAGTGTGACTGTGTACGATTGGGCGGCCGGAGATCCGTTGAGATCAATGAGAATCTAAAAAGGGACAACACAAAAACAATTAGACATTCAAATCATGTCTGCATATATAAAAAATAAAATAAAAAGGGGAGAGAGTCTATACTTACTTCCTTATTCAGCGACTGTGACTGTATCTTGGTCTCCGAAACGAGATGTTGCCACTTTCTTCGGTCCTGTGCAATCTTTCGCGCGTCGCGTGTCGACCAGTAGGTCGACTCAGATAAGCTCTCTTCACGTTCCGATCCTCTCCCATCCTTTCTAAATAGCCGAGCCAGCGAAGTATATGCACTTTAGTTTCGCCGATGATGTTTGTCTGGGCTACGAGCTCTTTTATTTCGGTGTTAGGGACTCTCCAGCTACCATTCTCTCGTTGGACGGACCCTAATATTTTCCGTAGAACCTTTCTCTCAGCCACCAGGAGTTTGTTCTCTTCTTTAAGTGTGAGTGTCCAAACCTCACAACCATAAGTGAGAATCGGCCTTATGACGGTTTTGCAATATCCGGATTTTGGCTGGACGGCTAAGAAACTTGGATACCAACACTTTGTGTAGGACTGCACTATATCGTCTGAATGCGGATGTCTATGTCCTCTTCCCTAGAGTTAGTTCCCTTTGTAGATGGTATCTCCAACATGAAGACCTTCACCCGTTTATCGCGTACATAACCAATCTTTTGTTTCATGACTTGAATAATTTATCAGATTATACTTTCATATAAAAGTAAATAGATTTAAATAGATAAATCTATGTGCAGCTTGGAGGTGGGAGTCGGACATTAGATTTGAACTTATTTAACTAAATACACAGATCAGACAGAATATACAGATCTAAAAAGTGTTAGATACAACAAAAACTTAAAAGTTTATAGGTAAATTTATTATGTTTTGTAAAAAGTCATGGAACAAACGTTATTGTTTGTGATGTTAGTAATATAGTGCTGCGAAATTGTCAGTATTTTTTATAAATAATCCTTTATACAGGATTATTTCTAAAAAATACTGACAACTTACAACTTATAACTTACTTTAGTCAGTACAATTTTAACTGAAAATAGTTTTTATTGAGAAGGTAATTTAATATTGTTTATTTTAATTTTAAATTCAGACAGGGTACATCGGATAAACTATCTACGTAATATGGAATGTTTTTACTTCCTTATAATAACATATTTTTAATAGAGTATTGTTTTAGGCTCCGGGCCAGCGGTGACGCCGCTGCAGGGCCCGATACTCCTGCGCAACGGCACGGTGCCCGTCGTACCCCTCACTTCCTACCCCACCGTCAACAATGGGTCTTTCTACCAAATACCAGTAAGTTGACTTTATTATTCATTATATCAAAATGTAAATTATTTTGTAATTAATTTAAAATATAATATTTAATTAATATATTTTAAGACTCCACAAAATGTTGTGGAAATGCACAGATAATTACTTTTTAATACAGCGAATTTGAATGTTATGTAAATAACAATATAAGAAGGTACATTTTTCTAATAGAGTTTCGTAATATTAATAACTTAGCGTGTTGCCAACCGTACCTACTGCTTACAATGTGTTCTGATGCATGTTGTAAAATGTACAAATCGAATAATAAAATAAGTACAATAATACAATTATGTCCATGTATCGAAATTTATATTCTATTTTCACAAAAAATATTTATTTTTAATAATTATTTATCTAATATGCTGCCTCCGTAGTCGAACGGTTACCATGCGGACCTGCCTTGCAGAGTATCCCGTGTAGATTCGCGTGTCGGGAGAAATATTTGTATGGCCAACATTTATTTCTCTCGTGAGTTTGGGTGTAATTTGTAGTTGTCTTGTAATTTGTGAGTGCATCCATGGCACCCGCGATACAGGGTTTCCTTAGTGCGGGGCTATGAGTGTGTGCGTTGTTGTTGTTCTTATATATTACATTTAAAATAATAATAATTAGATAAAATGCTATAAAATGTGACATTAGCATTGTTATTTACTTCAGTAGCAATAGAACTCCCCTTGTGAAAGAGTTTATCCAGGGAAGTACTGCCACCTTACTTACTACTGCCGCCATGCAGTAATGTGAGCATTACCGTGCTGGTGAAATCAGGCACATGGCACTTGTTAACTTATACCTCAGGGTGACGGGCGCTTTGGCAGTGACGGGAGAAATATTTGTATGGCCTGCATTTATAATTATAGTTTGTAGTATCCATGGCACTTCTGACACAGGGTTTCCCTAGTACGAGGCTATGCGGAGTGTGTGCGTTAATACCTACCTACCTTTAGTACTATATCTATAATAGCTACGTAAAACTGTTTTTCGTCAATACAAGTAAGCATTAACAATTATTACTGTCTTATTATTCTGAGTACATTTGCCTTGGTACTGTTTAGTACAACATCCACAGTTTACTTGTGGGCAAATGCAATGTTTACATAGAGCGATTGAAGCACGCGACTTACAATTTGTCTTGTCTTCTCAAACAGTGTGTTAGCTTAACCTAGCTGCAGCGATGGCCATTTGTTTTAATAATTTCGCATGCTATACTCTTTGTATACCAATCTCTAAATTGCACTATTGGTTTAATAAGGCCACATCTGCAAAATTACAACTTTTCAATAGAGAAATTTCAATATTCTACGAATGAAGTTAGTTGACACTGCGTTTGCGCCTGTCACACTGAGGCATAAGTTGACAAGTCTTATGTGCCTGTAATTTCACTAGCACCCCTCAAAACCGGAAAGCAGTGTGACGGTGTCACCTCCTTGCATCGTCATCCCACCTTTTTATCGCCTTTCTCCGTTCCTGGCCACTCGTATTTAAATTTAAATTTTGAATTGTTCCATAGTTCTTTTGCCTCGCATTCTGATTTTATTTCGTTCCATCGTCACTCCCTGCCAAATCGCGGCAGCGAACACGTCTTCCTTTCTTATTTTTTTGAGACGTTTACCAGACGTTTTAAAGATCATAAATATTGTTGAAACCGGAATACATATTTATAAAACTGGATTTATTACCACTAGTTCTTTACCCTTTTGCACTCCTGAACTTTACACTCACTAAGCAAGATTATGGAGGCGCGCTGGCTGCGGAAACTACCACTCTCCCTACGACATTACTATCCTATGGCACTCCACCAGCAGTGCCCTTGCAGCAGTAATGCTCATATTACTGCTTGGCAGCGGAATTAAGTAATGTAGTACTTCTTTGGACGAGCTCTTGCACAAGGAGCTCTACTGGTAATAAATAAAAATCATGGTTTGTTAGGTTTCCCGTTAAATTATAGTCCCAAAATTTCAAATTCCAGTAAAAAAATCCGGTAAATACTTGTTGTTTTAGATTAATCATGTACCTTTTGAGCGCAGACCACACCGCGAACGAAGCGAAGCTAACTTAGCATAACTCACGTAGCCGGGGCATCTTTTCATACTTCGGTTCACACCGCGAACTTTTTTTTGGGGGGATATCCTCCTAAGCTAACCGAGCTAACTAAACTAACCCAACAATTCCGCTAGCTATGTAAAATACATATGTCGCCCTTTTGCCGCCTTTCACCCCCGCACATATTCATAGTCACTACTTACTACGTATTTTCTTAGCTTAGCTTTGCATGCAACTACGTGAGCTAAGCGAGCTAAGTTACCTTAGTTGGCATAGTTGGTTGCATGCAACTACTAAGTTAAGTTAGCTAGTTTAACCTTCTCCATAAGGTAGCCGAGCTACAAAAAATGCAATGTCGATGTGCTTTTTGCATGATTTCGTTTGATCACACATGTTGATCGAAATAAAAAATACCATGTCGAACGTCTCTTGCTTACAAATTTACTCATTGTGTGATCGCATGTGTCGATCGTCAAAAAATGGAGCAAATCTGTAGGCACGTTTAGTACTACACAAACTGCGAACGTAATTACAGTTCACGTTATGTATACATATCGAAGGCCAATCGTAGGCTTAAATAATTGATATAATTATAAAATACTAAGTTAAAATATTCGAATCATTTTTATAGCTTTATTTTCTTAAGTAATAACCAAGTAATTAAGTAATGAATTTATATGAGTTTTACATTTACTTAAGCTTTATCACAAATGTATAAAGTGCCAATTTATAAATTGTAATCCCAACATAACATACCTTGTTGTCTCATATGAATTCTTTTCGCGTAGATGAATATATATAAAATTTTGTTTTGTCATTATACATAGGGCGCACTATAAGTTTCGGGAACTGGCCACTTACATAAACAATATTTAAAAAGTAATTACAATATTTGAAAATGGAACTCTTTGGCTGTAGAATACAATTTGTTTCATCTGACTGTCACTTGTTTTTACATTATGGCGTCATTTTAGAATTAGTTCGTGATGGTCGCCCGTCCACTGCTGTGAACAACCAAAACATTGATGCTGTGCGCCGTATGATCAAAACAGAAAGGCATGTGATATAACATGAGATTCTGACATCTTTACGTATAGGCACGAGTCAAATACAATCAATATTACACAAACATTTGGGTGTGAAAAAGCTGTGATCTCGGTGGATCCCACACAATTTGACTGAAGCTCAAGAAACGGATCGCGTCACTTGGTGCAACGCTATGCTTACCAGATTCAACGAAGGGGCGTCAAATTTGGTGTGGGAATAGTAACAGGTGACGAAACATGGATTTATAGTTATGATCCCAAAACAAAGCAGCGTATGGGTCTTTCGAGATGAGCCAACCAAAATGGCGCGCGTGCAAAGTGGAAGCAGCCTCTAAGTGGATGATTGCTTCTTTTTTTAATAAAACTGGACACGTGGTTACTGTTGCTTTGGAGAAACGTTGTACCGTGAATAGTGATTGGTACACTATCATTTGTTTACCGGAAGTTATTGACAGACAAATGAATTTTGGAAGGTGAACAACGTTGACCATAGGAGCCATCCCGCGTACAGTCCCGACCTGACACCTTGTGACTTTTATTTATTTCCAAAAATTAAGAACCAGTTAACGATTAGTCAACGCTTTTCATCACCTGAAGAGGCGGTCGAAGAGTATGAAAAATATGTTTCAGAGGTGATGGTTCATTGGAAGATGGTTCAATCGTATGAAAAAGTGCATTAACGCTAACGGAGAATATTTTGAGAAACAATAAATTCATTTCTGACCATTGTTACTCTTTTTTTCTTATTCATTCCGAAAACTTATAGTACGCCACACGTACCTATCTCTATATACCTTCCTACGCGTAAGCAACAAATAAAATCATAGACAAAGCAACAAAATTCATATTTTCCTGAGTGACTCTGTCTGACGTCGTTTCGCGGCTAAAGCGGTAATTACTCAAATATGAAAGCTCTGACTATTTCTAAAAATATGTTGTGACATAATGTTAAACATATGTAATTATTATTTATAGACATACTTTTATTGGCACAACACAAAACCACTCTAAAAGCAGATTGCATACAAATAATTATTTGACATATAATTACATTTAAAATTATAATAAAGGTGCAAAGTAAATAGTCTAGTATGGTCTGTGTTGCGGCGTCAGGCCAATACGAGCCTTATCTCAGCATATGCTGCAGTAACTTACCACAGCACTGATTTTTCAGTAAGCCGGTAGCATCGAGGACAAAACCAGATGTAGAGACGAAATAATCCTTTTCTGGCAAAACTCATCGGGCAAATGGGCCTTATATCACTTAAATATCAACTCTCGTTTGCGCGGAAATCACAAATTAGAAAGCTGAAATAGTACAGCGCCAACAACTGACCTGTGTGTACGTCTCCGTATATTCCAAAAATGTTCTGTATTTATTGTAATAAAGATAATATCTCTAACAATGGGGGGCTGTTCCATCCCGTGGTGTGGTAAAAACAGCAAAACATCTAATTACAAAACAAACGGAATCACATTTCATCGGTAATTATTATATACGTAATAATAAATTAAGTACGTAATTTTTCAATTTTTGTCCATTATAGCAAAGCTCAAGTTAAACCTGTCGAATTGAAGTGAAACAATTGACGACACCCGTCAATTGTTTTGGATTCGGGCTGGCCAATCGTAGCGCAGTTGTCACCGTAATGATTTGGCAGAATAGTTTTCAAACAAATTAAATGACATTTCGTCTCTATTTCTGGTTATATACATATACTCGATGGCCTGTAGCAATAGAATAATACAATAGAACACATATTTGTTGCTAAAGCAGCATACATGTAAATAACATAAATTAGGACTTGGATCAAAATGACGAATTAAAAGCTAGTCGGTATTTAAAAAACAAGAACATTAACCGCCTTAGTACAACAATTTAGTAGCAGTAGAATT